AGAAAATGCCGAAAAGGCGTACCGCACAGGGGATGCAAGTGACACAGGGCGTTTCAGTGAAGGGTTAGCACAAATCCTGGCTTGTGATAGGGTAGCGGGCAATGACCCAGGATCATATACGGGTATGACATGTACCCAGAGCGGAGAAGTATTACAAAAAGTCCTTGTGACTCAGCCTATCATTTAAAATATGACAAAAGAAGAAATAAAAGTTACAGAAAAAAATAAAACTACTTAAGGCTTAAAATGTATAACATAAATTCACACATAGTAAAATTACGTTACTTTACTTAAAATACCAAGGTAAGAAAAAGAAATACGACACTAAAAGGAAACTGAAACTTAAAAACGAAACCAGAAAAGGAAAAAAGTACGTTTAAGAACAACAGAAAACAAAAAAACGAAAACATAAAAAAATGGCCCTGGCAAGTAACGGGAAGTTTCCTCAGTTCACCCTTGGTTCTGCTGACCTCTCCGGCTGACACAAACACAGGTTCACATAGATCTCTCTTTATTGCCATGGCGGTTCCGTATATATAGCGACGTCTTGCTGACATCACTGCCATCATTTTCACTAATTTTATAAATATACATAATTAGAATATGGAAAACTGACGGTACATAGTTGACAGTTTAAGACAAATAATAAAAAAAACATTGAAAAATATAGCCTCTTATAAGTACTAACGTCATCGACATATCTAAAAAGCTAAAGGGACGATTTCAATAATGTAAAACATGAATAAAATCATTTAAAGGATAAAATCATATCACTAAGATGCAAATACATGTAATAACAAGACAAGTTTATAAAATGAAAATGACAAACACCGTCATGCTCATTTAGAGAGAGAGAGAGAGAGAGAGAGAGAGAGAGAGAGAGAGAGAGAGAGAGAGAGAGAGAGAGAGAGAGAGAGAGAGAGAGAGAGAGAGAGAGTTATAATTTTCATGTGAAACTGCTGCTCTACAAGACTGTTTAAAAATCCTGGAAAAGGCAAGGAAGACTGCACTAAGTAGCTTATCAAAACTACACATATATTAATAATAAAAAATATTCATTTCCTACTTCTTAATGTTAATAATAATGTTAATAATGCTAAAGGTAATACCAGTAATTTAGTCCCTGTGGGTTTTTAGCAGAGCCAATGACCTTCGTTATTCATGTTCATATAAGTATCTCATCTCATCAGGTCAGTCTTCTGCAACAGCATCCGCAACAGGCTTTAGCTTTGCCTGACGGAGGGCTGATGCTGGCTCTGAAACTTATTGATGTTGGACCTAAAGCGATGGTTCAGGTGTAGAAATTAATGTTAATGCAACACCCTTTCTTCCAGATTTCTCTTGGTGCTCCAATTGCAAGATTTTCCCTTTTCTTACAGCCTAAAGAGATATTGCAATCGAGTTTTATCTGTAAAACCTTTTTAGTTTTGTTAACAGGGACTATCTTTAGGTTTTGGGACAGTCAATGACCATATGTATGGATGACAAAAAGTCAGAATCCATTTAGATTCTTTGAAAATCAACTGAGTAAATAAATGTGATGTGCCTGCATAATATTTCCCATGAATATTATACAATAATAAACTATACATAATCACTTAATAAGCTGTACTTCTTATATAAATGTAGGTGACCACAATTCACGGATACCGCATAATCACACTGCCAACGTGAGGTTTCCACAAACATTGTGTGTGTTTGTGTTTAGGGCTTCAATTCTCCTTCATGATGCTGCAGCGCGTTTACTCTGTCATAATAATCTGCTGCCTCTTACTCGCTTGTCTGGAGCTGGAATAAAAGGCCATTTTGTAAAACGTTACTAATGGCACTGACATGGAGCATTTATTTGGCATACATGTAAATGCCCTCACATACAAGTATAATGAGTTGCAAATAATGATCTGTGTATCGCAGTGTTAAGAATTATGTGTTATATAAGAGCATTATAACTAGACAGGGGAGACTCAACTCTAAAGTGATATTTGATGTTATATAGTGAACAGAAAATGCTTACAGATAGTGACATAGCCATGGCCAGTTGCAGTTCTTCTTCCTCCTCCAACCAGAAGCATGTTTTCCTCTCTCCTTCAGCCTCCTCCTTCTCAAGGCGGAGCTTTTTCCCATCAAGACCTTCAAGTTCCTCATGGCAGTAAGCTTCCTCACATACATACACACACACGCACAAACACACATATACATACACGCACAAATCATACATTAAAAAAAGAAGAAAATCACGTACCGCTTCGAGCAGGTCGAGCAGCGCGAAGTTAGGCTTCAGCGTCCGGAACTGGTCGCGGTCCTGCCGGCAAGAAGGGCACTGGAACACACTCTTGCGGTTCTCCGTCCCTTGAAGGAAAGATTTTCATTGCCTTTCCATTTACCCATTAAGCCTTCTCTAAATGTATCTATTCATTTCACTTATTTATCTACATTTTTTTCTAATTTATTATTTCTAAGACATTCTTATCTATTCTATCTACGTATGTATCTATTTATTCATCTACTTATTCATTTATTCATTCATTTAAACGTTATTTCACATACAAACACACATATATGTATATATTTTACCCTGTCACCCGTTGTATCTTCTCTTACAGCAACATATTAATTATTGCAGAAATAAAACAAACAAAAAAACGAGGCACCAAGACACTGAAAACAAAGACACAACGCAACGCCAAACAAAAAATAAATAAATAAATAAATAAAAAATAAAACAAAGAAGCACAAACCAGGAAAGAAACCAAACATTAAGCCAAACACAGATTTCACAGAAAGACAAACAACAGAAACCTTACTAAGGCATTCCTCGCAGAAGGTGTGGCCGCAGCTGGAGAAGATAAGCGGACGACGATCGTGCGCGTTGTAGGTCGACCTGCAGACTGCACAGGTTAGCCCTGAGGGAGCCTGCAAAACACGGTGTCCTGTATATTAGCCCACAGTTTCTGCCTGGCCCCATTTCGCTCTGTTAATTAACTGTTTCTCGAGGGGAGAGGTGCCCAAGAACATGGCGTCACCAAGCAAACGTCGCAACTGAACCGGCTGGGACAATATGTGTGTATCTATAGCGCTGCCAATCTCTAAACATGACGCGGTTCGCCTGTTGACGCGGTAGACTGGCTGGGCGCCACAGGCAGGTAAATCTGTCAGGGGGAACTGCAGCCGAAAGGAGTCTCCGCAAGACGAGGCCTCTGGGGGTGATCTCCGTGCGTTCCCAAAAGGTGGGAAGCTACGGACGTGCCCGACCTCGGCTCATCCTCAATACGACCGCGCCGTATTAAGGATGAGCCCAAAGGGGCGAGGCCCTTGAGGCGGAGTCGACGATCGTTGATGGCCCTTGCCTCTGTCGGGTGGAGCTCGCATGCAGTTATCAGAGCGCCTTAAGTCGCCTCATATTTCGTCTGATTTTGTGCGTTTCAGGCGAGGGTCTTTTAATACATGCCGTAAACTTTATACTGGCAGTTCTCCATTAACGAAAGGACATTCATGTTAGCTAAAGACTAGAGAGTGGTTGACAGCGGAAGCACACACGAGAAGGCTAATTCTCAGCCATTACTACATAATGGAGGGATTTAAAGTGATGTGACTTTAGTTGTCATGAGCTTGTGAAAAGCATTTCCCTATATGGCTCGATGCAGGACAAGATCGAAATGGTCTTTAAGGTCTTTTATAGGATTATTATGCAGTAATGAAGGCAAGCAGGTGGAAGGCGGTCGGATTTGTAGCAACAGTTTTGATGTTTCGCGGGACATTATCTTATCTACGCCATCGAATGAACTGGTAAAGGTTTGTAAAATTATAATTGTCAGGCATTAATCAGTTCTAATGGCTTTCGGTTTTCTATCACAAACATTTTTTTATGTCAGTTTTTTTTTTTATTAAATAGCTATTTGAAGTTAGAACTTTTTATAAGCTAAAAAGGAAAAGAAACACATGGGTATGTGCCGTCGAGGGCTCAGGACAGTTACTGTTGTCGAACTGGTTTCATTCTGTTCTGAAGCACTGAAAAACGTATTTTTGTTGTATTTCTTCCTATTATGAGAAAAAAAAGCAAAAGTTAAAACGATAGAATAAGTGAATTCTTCAAATTTTATTTTCGATCAGCTAATGCCCCCCAAAAGATTAAACGAGATATTTGCATATCGTTCACAGATTTCTCCCATTCGCCATTTTTTATTTATTTCCAAAGAAAAAAAATACGTACAACGATACTATTGCTACCTTTTAAACCTACAAAGATGCAAACCATATGGAAGTTGCTATAAATGTTTCTAAATGAACATTACCTGGTTTTCAGAGCTGTTCTCATTATGCTGATCTGATGAATAAACATTTCCCTAGAAAAAAAAAGTTGCTATTAACATGCATGTATTGTACATGCAGTACATGTGCCTGTTTGATTCTTTAATTGTATTTGTTTTTTTTATATACCGTATACCTATAAACCAACACAAAGAAAAGGACAAGAGGACAGAATTAGACGAACAAAACAAACACAAAAACGCCGCCTTGCCTCGTGCACACGCGCGCCTGAGTCCTGGCGGAGGCCTCCTTGACCCAAGACGTCGCGAATGCTCTCTTGCAGGTCTCGCGAAGTCCCTGACGGCAGGCTATCTAGCGCTGTCGGCGGTCTCATCAGCAGCTTGAGGGTTTTGTAAATCTTTCTTGGCTCTGCAAAACAACGAAGGTAGATTTAGCGACTGGAGATGAATTCGCAGCTATTATTTAAAGAAAAATTGAAAGGAAAATGGTCTGCAGCACAAGGTAGTGAAGGAGGAAGGGGAAGAGGAGGAACGGGAGGAGGAGGAGGAGGAAAAAAGTGGAAGAGGAGGAGCTGGAAAATCAGAAAACGAAGAAAACAAAAAGAAGGAGGAGGCGAGAGAACAAAATACAAATATACGTAAAAAAAAACAGGGAAAAGTATATTCCTTTTACCTATGTCCTGCGTAAACTTTCTTTTTGACAATAATTAATATAAATTATTATTGTCTCACCTCAACAAGGGCATTGATGGTCTCTGAAGTCCGCTCTTGTTCCTTCCGAAGGGCGCACATGTCCTGTTAAGTGAAGTACATTCTGTTATATAAACTCAATCGCACAATTAT